TCACCTTTTGTAGTTCCGTTGGTAGTTCACCTTCCTTCGGGAACCAGTGCATTCTGGTCTCTCGCCAAGGCTGTCCAAGGGAATTTCTGTAAGCCATCACTACCATCACTGCACAGGGAGGACGACTCACTGGCCCAAGACGCAAAAGACAAAGCCGACCTTTTAGGCTCCCTTTTTGCGTCCAACTCGTCTCTTGATGACGGGGGGAAAATACCGCCGACCATCCCGCGGTGTGAGTGCTCCATGCCGGATGTGCTGTTCTCATAGTGCTCGGTTCGCAAAGCACTCCTCTCCCTGGACATCCAGAAGTCGAGTGGGCCTGACGGAATCCCCCCAATTGTGCTGAGGACGTGTGCTCCGGAGTTGGCACCGGTCCTAACGCATCTTTTCCGGTACTCCTACTTCCAAGGCGTAGTCCCGAATTCATGGAAGACAGCTTTTGTCCACCCGATCCCTAAAAAAGGCGACCGCTCAGACCCGTCCAACTATAGGCCTATCGCCATCACCTCCTTGTTCTCCAAAATAATGGAATCCATTATTAACTGCCAGCTCATGCGGTACCTTGAGGATCACCAGCTGATTAGTGACCGCCAATACGGTTTTCGTCGGGGTCGATCAGCTGGTGATCTTCTGGTCTACCTGACCCATAGATGGGCGGAGGCAGTAGAGTCCGAGGGGGAGGCGTTGGCCGTTAGTTTAGACATTGCGAAGGCCTTCGATCGGGTTTGGCACAAAGCGCTTCTTTCGAAGCTCCCTTCCTGTAGGCTTCCCGAGAAATAGTGCAATTGGATCACCAGCTTCCTTGCAGATCGGAGCATCAAGGTCGTTGTAGACGGTGCATGCTCCGACTACAAGCCTATTAACGATGGTGTTCCACAAGGCTGTGTGCTATTTTTTTTTATAGGATCGGGTGACAAACGAGCACACAGTTCACCTGATGGTAAGTGGTTACTGTGACCCATAGACATCTACATCTATCCTCAATAAAGACTCAAGATGCAGATGCGTTGTCACCCGTGAGGACTAAGATGGAATGCCTCTTTGCCAGTAAAAAGGGTCTCCGGTTCTCTACACTCACCATACGAAACACAGCAGCGTTAAGCTGCTATTTTACGCTAGTTTTCTGTGAGAGCGTGGTCCTTCCCCGGTCGAGCCGACCCATTCGTGCTACAACCATAATATAGCTGCAGCATGGTTCTACCACGTAAAACATGGTGCTATCACCAACGCTGTTTCTTCTAAATATCAATGATATGTTGCTAACTGGTAACATTCATTGCTATGCGGATAACAGCACTGGTGATGCTCTATACACCGGCCGTGCCAATATTTCTCGTGAAAACGTCGCCGAGTACCGGAACAAACTTGTGTCTGAAGTCGAGTCTTTGCTGAACAAAGTCTCGAATTGGGGGTACTAAATCTAGTCCAGTTTAATCCCCAGAAGACACAATTTTGCGCGTTTACCGCTAAAAAGAACCTCTTTGTCGTATCTCCTGTTTCAAGGCACTCCCCTTCTTGCCTCAGCCAGTATCGGAATCCTCGGAGTCGACATATCGAGTGACGTGCAGTTTGGTGGTCACTTGGAAGAGAAGGCCAAATTGGCCTCTAAAAAGCTTGGCGTGCTCAGCAGAGCGGGACAGTATTTCATGCCGGTACACCGCCTGAAACTTTACAAGGCGCAGCTTCGGCCTCACATGGAATACTGTTCCCATCTCTGGGCAGTGCCAGCTCCTTCCACTTGACCGCATCCAGCGCAGAGCGGCTCGAATCGTCGACGACCGAGTCCTTTCCGAACGGCTCGATTCATTGGCACTGCGAAGAGATGTTGCATCCCTTTGCATTTTCTTTCGCATCTACCACGGGGAGTGCTCTGAGGAATTGTTCGGATTAATCCCAGCCGCCAAATTTAACGAACGCACATCGCGGTAGAACTCCCGATACCATCAACACCATCTGGATGATTGGCGGTCCACCACTGTACGATTTAGAAGATGTTTTCTTCCTCGCACGACTTCCTTGTGGAATCGATTACCATCAGCGATTTTTCCGGACCGATACGACTTAGGGACCTTCAAGAAAAGAGCGTACTCCTTTTTAAAAGGCCGGCAACGCATCTGCGACTCCCTCCCTGGTGTTGCAGCTGTTCATGGGCGGCGGTAGTCACTTACCATCAGGTGAGCCGCATGCTCGTTTGCCCCCTCTCCTACAAAAAAAAATATAAGTCATAAGTAAGAAATTCTATTTTTTGTTATTCTGAGTAGATTATTCTTCGTGCTTTGATTTTTTATATCTAATAGTCGGATTTTTCCCCAAAATTCAAGCCAAATTTTATTGTAGGCTTATATTTAAAAATGTAATAAAGTTGAATTCCTTTTTATACTTATTTTACTTAAAATCCTTTACTTTTCATCATAATGCAAAGACGGATATTTAAATCATCACTTTCTTTAAAAAAAAACACTACATAATATACGCGGCCTCTCAGACCTCACGTCGTTACTAACGTTACAAAAAATGCACGTCGATACTTAAAGGTTAAACTGGTATAGATTCAAGTTTTAACATTGAGTAACCACATAGTTTTAATCTGTGACAGTCTGATATAACCCATCGTAAGCGCGAGTGGACACGCGATACGAATGCAAGCAAGAGCTGTTTTGAATAGTATTTCTTAATATTCCATTACATTTATAACAATTTTTTAGTACAGCCGTGCTACAAAAATTTTAGCACGAATGGGTCGGCTCAAAACAACGCTTTCACGGAATACCAGCGTAAAATAGCAAGTTAATGCTGCTGTGTTTCCTATGGTAAGTGTAGAGAACTAGAGACTCTTTTTACTGGGAATGAGGCATTCCATCTCTTTAGGAGTGATAACACATCTGCATTTTGATTTTTAATTGCGAATAAATGTAGATATCTGGGAAATTTAGATATAGGCTGCAGCATCCACTTACCATCGCGTGGACTGTGTGCTCGTTTTTAACCCTTATTTTATAAAAAAAAACTATACTTGTGAAAAGATATTGCGAAATAATATACGTACAGCGTCGTCAGCTTATTATGGCACCAATTTGAGCCACATGTAATATCCCACTGTAAGATGCAGGTATGTACAAGCTTGATTGTGAATGCGGTCTCTCTTACATAAGACAAACGGAAAGCACAATAAAATATGTACAGAAGTTGCACCAATTTGAAGTTGACTGCTTGCCGACGTTTTAATAGCCTACACAATTATTATTAATTAGATAAATCGTACACGCAAGCTAAATAAAACTTTATCGCTGCGCGCGAGTGTCCGTACTACTTTGCATCTTTTCCCCTTCCTACATCACGGCGGACTTTCCGTGGTTACTAAGGCCTTCAATAAAGAGTACAAAAATACATTGCGAAATGTTAAGTACTATGTGAGTTCTGTGATGCCCAACGCATGCAACTTGCAGGGCCATTCGTCGGGAATCGCAATGCTTGGCTCGGAAGAATTAGGTAGATAGTGTAAACAACAAATAAACACGAAATACGATTCCAAAGAGAAATGTAATCGTATTATATACAATTAATATATATTTTAATTACAAAAGACAAGTATAGGTATGTAAGTAGGTAATTCAATAGTGAAGTAAATTTAAATTCAATTTTGTAATAAAGTAACTCCTCAAAAGCAACACCTAAGTAGGTGTTACTTCTGAGTTAAATTATTACTTAACTATTTTTTCGCTATAAGTACCTATCTAAAAAAAAGAATACACATTTCACATTTTTACGTGATAGAGCCATATGCTGCAGCTATATTAGTAGTAGGTATAGTTGTAGCACGAATGGGTCCGCTCGACCGGGGAGGACCACGCTCTCACAGAATAACTCAAATAAAACGCGCTAGGCCTGGACTGGAGGTAATTATTTCAAGCAGGTAGCAAGAGTGACAGAGGCCTACTGAAAGATGAATTAAAACTCGCGTAAAAGAACATACAGCTGAAGTGAAGAATCGACGCTTCCAGAAGTCTGCAGACTGTTAACACGTACAAGATCACTTCCGCCATTACATCCGATTTGATAGACCACAAATCCTAGCAGAAGAACCGCTGTTCTTCTGCTCCTACCTACTAAGGATGATTCGCAAAGCTATTACAATCAAAAAACCTCCTAATTTCAATAGAGAAGATGGGCAGGTGTTTACAATCTGCTTAAAATATAATTAATAAAATTAAATCCCAACCCTAGTAACAATTTTACACTGAAGGTAGCCGTGGTTAACTATGATATTAGGACGTCAAACATCGCAGTTCTCTGTGATCATAGATGCTGCAAAGTACTTGAAAAGTCGAAAATATACAATAAGTACATAAAAGGCAAAATCCGTAAAAAAAATTAGTTTGATTCAATCTAAAAAAATAGCTTTTAAAAAGGACTAACGTAGTTCTGGGACCTCTAGGACTTTTATAAATACATACATAACTAGTTTCATTGCTGTAAAATCGCCAATTAAGTAAGAAGTGCAACTTCGTTAGCACTTTCACACACTACCGCAGCCACTAACTAGTAGGATGTCGAAGAAATTTGTAGTTCGCCCTCATATCACTGATTGGAAACTGCCTGAGGGTTTTAGCAAGAAATTAACTAACGACGGGTTGCTGTTCCGGTACAATCTTTAGTCCTTAGTGGTACGATTTTGTGTATTAACAAATTGTGAATACTTCATAGTACAAGCGTTGCGATTGGGATATAAACTTAATGTTATTTTATATGCTTAAGAGCCTTGAGGATGGCTGTTTACTCAAGCTGTCGTCAAAACCTCGCAAAAACATCCCAATGTGATATCAACATCAAAATAATACGCGTATAGTGAAGAAATTTGTTAACATTTTTTGCATGTGTTACAGCGTTTGGTGTATTTTTTTTTTCAGCTGAAGGTCTGGTAGCCATTGCCACGATAAATGGGAAAAAACTGCGTGAGGGCTGTCAAAAATCACATGAATATACCTGCGCTGTCTCGACCGCTACAACTGAAAGAGGTCGTCGTGTGCCCTCTCGAGACGTTTCAACGAGCTGTCGACGCGACGACCCTGCGTGAGCGCGGACGGAGGCGGTGGCAGCGGCGGCGGTATCACCTCGTTGTAGGACGTCGACGCGCCCATCGACGCGGACTGACGTAGCCTTGCCGTCGGCCGGTGGCGAACGAAACCGTCCTCTATGTCCTTCACGAATCTGGAATAATAAATCGAAAAATTATTAGATCATTACAATTTTACGAATTATAATATTTTAAGTTGTTTTCTATTGTTACTATCTACCCTTTGTATTTGCAAAATATAGCTAAGTACTAAATGTAAATATAAAAATATGTACTTTTTATACGTCACAATATATCACATGCATATTATTTATGTATGTATATAAACAAAATTTGTTGTCATAAGATTACAATCTTCACCCTTAACATTAGTACATTCTGAATGTCAGTCCTTTTTGGAATATTATAATCAAGAAGTGGTTTTAAAATATGTTACTTATAAATTATAACAGATTTTTTACTTTGTTCCCTGCTTATCTTTATATATAAAAATTACGTGTCACATTGTTTGTCCGCGATGAACTCCTAAAGAACTGAACTGATTTCAATGAAATTTCGAACACTGTGTGCAGTTTGGTCCAACTTGAGAGATAGGATAGTTTTTATCCCGGTAAGTGACCCTTAATATTTTTTATTAGGAATTTAAGGTTTTTTTTTTATTGGAGAAATGGCCATCTCAGGAAAAGGCAGAACAACGTCTGCCTGGTCAGCTAGTCTTTATATATAAAAATTACGTGTCACGTTGTTTGTCCGCGATGAACTCCTAAACTACTGAATTGATTTCAATGAAATTTTGCACACTGTGTGCAGTTTAGTCCAACTTGTGAGATAGGATAGTTCTTATCCCGTTAAGTGACCCTCAATATTTTTTATTACGAATTTAAGAATTTTTATAGGACACAGGGTCGTCGGAGAGGGCAGAACAACGTTTGCCTGGCCAGCTAGTATATAATGTATTTAGAATTTTCAGCAATCTTACATCTTCATAATCAAAAGCACGCCAAAAAAGTATGACTACTAATTACAAGTTTAACTTTTTGTGATAGCACATAATACAATATTGAACATTAGATAACCTAGTAATTAACCCAATTAATAAAAAGATGCGACTTGAATAAATCGATAAACTCAAGTCTGTGGCAGTCGTTTGTCATTTTTGGTATAAAACCACAATGAAATTTAATTTTATGAGGGTTTTTTTTTAGTAATTAATAAAAAAAATATTTCTTATGTTTACTCGAACACTACACATTTTTAGTTACGTTCGTATATATATATACGCGTCGTATTAAATTATAATTGCAACCATAACTAATGATTTGCACAATCGATTATCCTGGACAACATAAAACTGAACGACCCACAAATATATAGAATGTTTGCTGTATAAACAATAGATAGTTAATAAGGTTTGATGGCCACTAAATGAAGTAGTTGACAAAGTAACAGTCTGACACGAAATGAAGAAAAAATCTAATAATATCGTGAACTATCTAAAAAAACGTGATATTGATATTAAAACTAGTCAATACTTTATCTAGATCATGCGGAACGCTAAAGGAACCTAAAGATTATGATCACAAATAACCAGTTTTGATATATGTATACATAGTTAAAACAGATCGCTATCCGCACAAAGACATCGTTATTATTAGAGATAACTCGCGACGCGGAATGTGTTGCAGGACCGACAATTGACTATTTGCCGTTTCCGTTCGCTGGTTGGTTCAATTGCACGAAAACGCTACAGTCCTTTTTGTCCAGAGAAATAGAAACGTTTTTCTTACATACTTTCTGAAGCTAAAGCAGGATATGAAAACGTGGTGTCGCAGGAAACATACTACTCATCTCACTTACGTGTACAAATTTTTGATCGAGCTTACTTGTGTTTAACAACTTCTTATAATAATTAAAATTGTTTTTACTTATAGAATAATCATACAAGTAATTAATTGACAAAAAAAAAACAACGTGGTTCGGTTAGCTAAAAATATGCACTTCATTCAAACAACACAATACTGGTGGATTTTAATGACACATACACAGTTTTTTGTTGATGAGTGAATGCTGTGGCCCATAGACAGTTACATCTAATCTACCCTTACCAAATTAAAATTATAGACATGTCACCCATGAGGACTAAGATGGAATGCGTTGTTAGCAGGAAAAAGGATCTTTGTTCTCAAAATTCACCATACGAAACACCGTAGCAACATTATGCTACTATTTAACGCTAAAATTCTGCTAGAGCTGACCTTCTCCTGTCGAATCGAGCTCTACCACATAAATCATTATCATCATCGTCCTTACAGCCCCTCAATTAGGTACACTGTTGAAGAAAGGCCTCTCCCAAGAAATGCCTCAAAACACAGTTTTAAGCGACCTGCCACCATCGACTTCCTGGCATGTTTACCAAATCGTCACTCCATCTACATTCCGGGAAAGGCCAACAAGCCGCTTACCTACACAAAGCCGTTTGTTCGAACTATATGATTGACACTTCAGCTTATACCACATAAAATATAGACTGCAATCTCTTATTATACGTATACAAATAGGTAGATAAGTACGCATGTGCTTTATATGGTAGTTACTGATATTCTTTCTGTTCAACAACGAATGCAATCATTGAAACAAATATCGGAAACTAATCAGGCTATAGTTAACCACAGTAAACGTGCAAATACCGCCCATCCACGATTTCACGAACTAACTAATGTTCATGCGATAATATCAGCTTATGAAAGTAATTTTGATCGATATCTAGAAATAGATAAAGACTCAGCACCGCGACTAAAAAGTCAGTACACTAAATAATAACACAAGCAATCGGGAAAAATAAAAACCGTAATAAACAAGACGAATATTATCGACACAGCATTTATTACAGGTCTACCCCATTTTTATGATTTGTTTTAATTATTTTATAGGACAAGGGTGACAAGTGAGCACACAGTCCACCTGGTAAGTGGTTGCTGTAGCCCATAGACATCTACATCTATCCTCATTTGCGAATCAAAATGCAGATGCGTTGTCAACCGTGAGGAGTAAGATGGAACGCCTCTTTTCCAGTAAAAAATGTCTCCGGTTCTCTACACTCACCATACGAAACACAGCAGCATTAAGCTGCTATTTTACGCTGGTATTCTGTGAGAGCGTGGACCTTCCCTAGTCGAGCCGACACATTCGTGCTACAATTATACAATTAATATAGCTGCAGCATGGGTCTACTACGTAGAAGAGTTTTTAGATTGCCTAAGAGATATTTGCTATAGTATGGTTAGCAACCGCATTTTTTTTATTGTTTTGAGTTATCAGCAATATGCTGTTGCCCATCTCCTGTTTTATTTCTCTGTATCACTCACGAGATGATGAGGTAGTGGATTCTCTTACGCCTCGTCCACACGACGAATAACACAACTAAAGTACGAATAGCACGCTCAACTAAAATTAGGTAGTCATAAATAAATAAGAGAATGCAATAAAGTGTACCTACCTACCTACCCATAGAACAAAAAGAATGCTCAGAGTGCACACTAATATTAGAACAGCGTCCAATTCCAGACATTCATACGAGGACACGAAAGTAAACAAGTGGGATGCGGGAAGTAAAGACTAAGAAAGACGGTGTAAGTAAGAACCTCCGAAGGAGGCGGAGTTAGGTATAGCCGAAATAAGAATTTTAAATTTTTTGGTTTTTGGCCACTTCGATCCCCTAGCAGTGTAATGAGAACTTTTTGCCCCTATTCAACCATGACCCCCATGACATCCGATACATGACAGGCTATTCAAACTGACTAGGCCTAAAGTTCGAGTCAACCCCCAACTCATTTCTTTACTTCAAATTCCCCCCCCCCCCCCCCCCCAACTCATTTCTAAAGTCTTTACTTCCAATTACTTTCAATAAATGGGTCGTCAACTTTGTTTTCGCGTTGCTTATAAAATAATATGAATAAATTCAAATAATATTAAATAACATACACACGTGTGGGAGTCATATCTGCACGCGTTGCCTACATTTAAATAAATTACTATATTGGTTTGAATTTTATTAAATATTTTAATTTCCGAAAGATAAGAATTTTGACACAACCATGACCTCATATTTACACTGCTTTCAAAACTTTCTCCTATCCTTATGTTCTTTTGCTTTATATTTATAGTAATCAAATACATTAAATTCTAAGTATGAGTGAGTGTCTCTTTTAAAAAGCACTTATAACAAGAAAATACATGTTTATATTTATATTAAAAAATTATTTATTTTTTATATTTTTCTTGTCGATGGAAGGTGTAGTGTTGCTCCCACGACAGTATAACATATTAGTGCTAAGGTAGAATAAGTTAACGTAGTATAATATAAAAGGCTTAAACTGAGCAACACGTCTCCTATTCCTTGACAACTTTCCGACATTAGAATAGGAAAGTTATTCGATACTTATAACAATAAAAAAATTAAAATTTTTGTCTGCCTGTCTGTCCGTCTGGCTGTCTGTTTGTTCCGGCTAATCTCCGAAATGGCTGAATACATTTTGATGGCACTTTCACTGACAGATAGCTGATTTTATAAGGTCTTAATTAAGCTACTTTTATTTTAGAAAAAGAATTACGATTCTGCGCAAAAAAAATTAAAATCAATGTAATCTAATCGCCATAAACTCCACGGGGACGAAGTCGCGGGGAACAGCTAGTAATTATATATTCACGTATATTACGAAGGCAGCGACAATATTTCTAAACTGACTTAACCAATAAAATTACAAATTCTGGACCCAGCCACCAGAACCTTAGCCAGCTGATATATTTATACAGTTACAGTAGCATTATTCTGTGGCGTTAAATGTAAATAAAATATTTATATCTCAATACAATATCTAAAGCTTTCAAATAATCTATAATTTAAATGAACAATCCTTATTTTCCCGACAAACTGCTTCCGCAGTCATGATTGCGTGGATATTGAAGTTCCAGTATATCCACGCGCATAATATACAGTCATAATAGCTGGTCCGGCAGTCGTTGTTCCGCTGTTTTCGGTAGGTGGCGCGATTTGTTTTACTCCAAATCTGCTTCGGAGTTTTAACAGTGTAAACATAAAATTCATTAATAACTCCACCAAACTCCACCACACAGA